TGGCGCTCGCCGCCGCACACCCGGGCGGGGGCACCCTGCTCCTCGCTGCCTGTTTTGGCCGAACGCTCCCCAGGTAGCTGGAGCGCTGGGCCACGCCGTGGTACCGGTCCCTGGAGCCTCGTAGCACCCGGGTGGCGCATGCAGCGTGGAGTACTGCAGGTGGTAAACGGGAGGGTCCCACCTGCGACGCGCGGTGGCCCTTCTGGCTGTACTGGCGCGGATCCAAAGTGAGCTGCGTTGTGCCAAAATTCAGGCAGTGCTTAAGGTACCGTGTGCAGTCCAGCCTTTCCGCTAACTTTTTTTTTTTTTTTTTGGTGAAGTCTCATCGGTGCAAAAGGCTTGGCTTGTAGAGCATGATAGGAAAGCATCACGAGTATTTCCACATCTGTTAAATGAGGCTTTCCAATGCAGCTTCGTTATTACGTTATAGTTGGCCTTTTAAATTGATGCAGTTCGTTATGGCTGGAGCAAGTTCTGGGTTCAGGATGTTATATCAGGGGTTCCTACCGACACTCCCTGGTGGAGGAAAATGTCTCTGTTCCTCGTAGGCTAAAATGACAGTTACACATTGCTGAACAAAGATCTCTGAGTGCTAAGATTACAGAATAAATTTGATTAGGCCATATTTTCTCTGGCCTTTCATCGGAGAAACTCTCCAAGTAGCTCTTGGAAGGGCAAGTATGTCAGATCTGCCTCCTCTGAGTAAAATGAAATGCTTGAGCGAACCAGATGCCTTTATTAATTGTGTTTTAAAAACGGCCTGTGAAACATACAAAGGAGCCAGATTCGTTCATCGACATATACGGCAACAGAGGAAGCAGCAGAACTTAAGTGTTTGACTAATTTGTATCACTGAAACCGCAGCCTGCCTTCTTCTCACTTAATAGTTTGTCTTAAGTATCACCTGTATCTTGTGGTAGAGGTGTTTTAGAATTGGTGGGGTCCTGCCACAAAAGAGTTCCCGTGAATAGCATTTCTCCAAGGGATGAGCTGTGCTTTATGTTTGTCTTGGGGTCCCCTTGCAACAACATAGAGCGTTGAATGAAGTTCAAGGGAGGAAGGGAACGGTCATTGTTTAAATATCTTTTCTATGGGCCTAAGGGTTCATGTGCCTTTACTTCGGTCAGCCACTGATCTGCCTAGATTTTCCTTGGCTCTAAATTGCTCAGTGTTCTCTCTTCTGCACTGTTCAGGTCTCTTGTAGGCATTGCATAATAGAAGTTAAAGTCTCAAGTGGCTTAGAAAAGGAGGTTATGCTTGCTGGTGAAGTAGCAAGTGGAACAGTTAAATCCAAAGAAAGATATCCAGATACCTGTCGGGAGTGGGACTGATTTGATCATTCTCCGTCATGCTGGGAGATACTGCCCTGTTGGGCCTTGAAAAGATCACTGAGAATCTTCTGCATCCACATGAGTCACAAAGCATTGTCTTTACATTTTAAAAATACTATGCAACCCTCAAAACCATGAGAGTCGATAACAGTCTGTCCTCCAGCCAACTTCCCTGTCTGGTTCCCTCCAGCATAAAAAGATGGGGAGGTATTCCAGACTCACCTCCTCCATGCCTCCTACCCAGCTCTCCTCTGCGTCTGCCAGAGTCTCTAGTCTCTCAGCTTTCTTGTCCCTTTAATAACACAAAGTTCGCAGGCGGTGTCAAAACCACCTTCCCTAAGAATGAAAGGTGACCTAGCCTCTGAATCCCATGCTGTCTCTATGCCAAATAAACTTCAAAAGATATTACAAATGTGGCACACAAATGGGGCACACTCCCATCTGAGAGCAGAAACAGTATGTTGTCAGAGCAACAGAATAATTTAGCCTGAAAGTTATGGACTGGAACTGTAAAAATTTATCCTGCAGTTAGAAACAACTTCATATTAGCTAGTCCAGTAAATAAGGCCACTTAGATTTGCCATGCAGATTATTTGCAGCAGAATTTCTGTATTTGCTGGGACATTTTTCTTCTGGATTTGTATTAGTCTATTCCTAAGTCAGCATACATACATGTGCATACACAAACAGATGTGCATACATGTTTATGTACACACACACACACACACACACACACACACACACACACATGTATATTCAGACTGAATTATGGCTCTATGTTTTGCCCAGTACCCGAAACTACATTTTCTTCTTCAGAACTAATTTTAGATAAAAACTCTTATGTTTTTTATCTCCAGCTTATCTCTACCTCATAGGTAATTCAAGCCGGTTGTGGCTTTCCTGTAGCAAGTTTAAGCAAAGGACTGGATTTCAAAGAAAAAAGAGAAGAAATGGAAGGTGCATGAAGACTGGTATTGATGAGGATCTGAAGAAGTCTGCATCTAGGACATGCCCAGATGTCTTCCACTCTTCCTGAGAGCGCTTTTCTGGAAAACAGGAACCTGTGAAGCTTATGCTGAAGGCTTTCCTACAGGTCACACAATGTATTTCGTAGTGTGAAATAGCAAGTTGGTACAGTTAAAAAACTGAAGACTGAGATTTCCAGAGGTGTCAAAATTTGTTCTTGGTTTAGATAAATGGTTAGATATTCAGAAGTGGTGCATTCCTGATGATCACACTGGCTGCAGTTCTTCTGCCTGCAGTTCTTCCGCACCTTGGAAAATAGGACTATTTCCACAAGTGCCCAACTGTGGATTAAGGCATTTAAGATTAGGCCCCTTTTGGGAAAACGTTGGTCAGTTCTTATTGGCTCTGTTAGTTATTGCTCTGAAGCAAACTAGATGGCAAGCAATGATGCTATAACCTTTTTTGTTGAACAGGGAAGTGTTGCCATGTTGTCCTCACCCTCAAAACACGGAGTGCGTTTCTAAAGGACTCGCAATTTGTTCTCAAGCTGCGGTTAGAAAGGAACACGAAGGAGAGCTGGAATAGACTGTGCTCCTCCAGTGTGCCCCAGGCTTCCAGTTTGATCTTCAGAGAAAAAAGATCTGCTGTTTACCTAGTTCCCGAGAAAAGGCCCAGTGGCTGTGGGGAGCTGAGGTTGCTACAAGAAATGTTAATAATATGTGCAGATCTCTATCCAGCATAGCTCTGGTAGAAATCAAGGTGCAAGAGAGGGGAAGGAGGGGTGTAGCTTTTCCCTGCCCTTAATACCCTTCTTAGCTTTTTGTCTCCTCATGTCAACTCACCTGTGTTTGTTTTACCCATTCTCTTGTGCCTATTCCCTCAGCCCCTCATCTCTCTACCCCTCCTATCAGTCTCATTGCAAATTGGAGCGGTCTCAAGATTTGCCACCTGTCATACTCAGTGGTACCCACTTTCAGAGATGGTAGGAGGAGCAATGAACAATATTTCATGTCTTTCTTACAGCCTCAACTCTCCAGTGTTGTGTATAAATCATTATTATTGTTACTTTCTGAAGCAGAGGTAAAACTTTTATCCCCTTTCGGTAATTGAAAAGCCAGTCTTGGTCTCACAGGAATCACATTTGATGTGAAGCGTCTATTTTTCACAGTTTCAGAAAATGCTTGGAATGTGACTGACTGCCTCCTAAAGCCTCCAATAAGCAAGCAAATCTAGAAAACAATACATGGAGATCCCCTTATTGCTCTTTAGTTTAACATTCCTATGCTTTTGAAGCCAGCTCATGATTTCAGGGGTGTGGAGTCCTGATTTCTGAACCGTAGGATCTGGCTGTGTTACACTCACTTCATCATGAAAGTGGGTCTTTTCTTTGCTCTGCGTTGTGTCTTATCTGCTCAGACTCCAGACCTTTTAGCCTGCCTCTTTGCTATTGTGCAGTGAATATCATAGCATGCTGCTGACCTTAACTGGAACCTTTTGATACTTTTACAGTAAGAATGATGCCTATCTAGCAGAAAGAAATATTAAACTTATCTTGACCAGCCCGTGTAGGTAGACGTTTAGCAAAATGCATTCCTG